TCTCTCTCTCTCTCTCTCTCTCTCTCTCTCTCTCTCTCTCTCTCTCTCTCTCTCTCTCTCTCTCAAGTGAGGGGGGGTGAGGGGGACAAAGAGAGGGTGAGAGAGGTTTGGGAAACAGTGTTAAGTGAAGACATTGTTTTCTTCAGCAATTCATAATCTCAGTGTTGTATCTTATATTAGGATGCAGTAGAATTTCTGCATTCTTGCATTGCACACCCTTGATTAGTATTTTATTTATTTTTTCATTTGCTTATTTAGCTTTTTTTCAACTTTGGGTTTTGATTGCCTTTCTTTTTGTTTTTTTCCTTTATTTTGGTAATTCAGTGGGGATTTGAAGCCCAACCCATAATTGGAATAGAACTCAACTAGCCTCTAGCTTATTCCTACATGTACATATAACTTGCTTAATATTTTTTACTTGTATCAATGTGCAGTGGTTACATGCCTCCCGAGTACATTTTGCAGGGGCATATCTCAGTGAAGACTGATATCTATTGCTTTGGAGTTCTGCTATTGGAAATTGTCTGTGGGAGAAAGAACAATGAGCCATCGGACGGGAGTCAAGGACTAGTAGAATACGTAAACACAACATCTCTTCTACAAAAGCCACAATTTCTTAACGTTAAGGGGAAATATCATTTTAGGATGTCAAAACACTTTATAAAACCATTAAGGGTGTCAATTAGTATTAAAGTTCTTTTTTTTCCATACTATCATTTCACTCAAATACCGTCTCAAGAAATATCTTCAATAATACACAAATGGTTCCTATTCAGTGTCCCCAACCCCAAACAAGCAAGGGCTTTCAGTAATTTGATCCACTTTGAATAAGTAGCTTACTCGAGTCATTTGATTGGGACCTCTTGGATCGGTCAATTTGCTGAAGTGCTCTTGCTTATTTGAGATTCAGAAACTTGAACATGGACAATTTTAAGATCTTTTTTTCTTTTATGGAGCACCTCTAATGTCAATTTGCATATTTTGACCTTGTATGGTTTTGTTAGGCGTTTTAACCCCTTAAATGATATTATCCTTATCCTATTTTATTTTGTTTTTCTTTTTTAGTTCTTTTATGTTGCATAGTAGATAGGAAAAACTAATGGCTCAAATGATATAGGCATGGCGGTTGTGGCGTGATGGGAGACTCATAGAGTTGATGGATCAATCTCTTGGTGAGACATGCCCACGAAACCAAGTTTTGAGATTCATTCACATTCGGCTTCTTTGTGTTCAAGCAGATGCTACAGAGAGCCCCCCTATTTCTTCAGTGGTTGTCATGTTGGGAAGTGATTCTTCGAGTCTTAGCTTGCCGATGCCTCCACCTATGGTTTTTGATGATAGAACCATTAAAAGGTAAGATGTATCTTCAAATTACACAGAAGGCAACTCTGTAAATGAGGTCTCAATTACTGACTTCGATGGTTGCTAAGCTTAAGCATTTTGACATTAACTTTTCAACAGTGTGATAGAATGTCTCCTTGCTTTTTGTTTAAAGAATGTCTCCTTGCTTTTTGTTTAAAATTTGGATTTTCTGGTGATACTCTTTTTGTGAGTTTTTGGGGTGAGTTTTGTAGTATACTTGCTAAACTTATAAGAGAGAAGCTGAAATAAATGTGAGCGCCCCTGTTCATTTAGTGCTACTAAGTTGTTCCTGCATAAAAATTTTGTATTAAATGGAAGCAGTGTTTGCATCTAAAGAACACTTTTTCCACTTCTCAAGATAGGTCCACATGAACATTGTGTAAAACACATAATAACGAGGGACAATAGATGGTAGCTGGCATTGTATGGTACCCAACATCCACTAATGTTTATCACAAATGGTGAGGGATGGACAATTCCACCCAGTCTAGTTAGCTTGATGAGTTGACTCCTCTCGAAGTGTGGCGAATGTTGCGTAAGAGTACCTCAAGCTTCATTCCTATGGAACCTTGTCACAAAAAAAAAACCTCAATACTATATATACATCAAAAGTATAGTAAAATGATGTAGCCCCCCATTCTCTCTCTCCAGTATTTTGCGTATGGCTCATCACTACCCAAAATCTATAGTATAGTTACAGTTATCTGATAGCATTTAAATTTTAATAAGGTTTCTACAAATCAAACTCATCTGAAATGGCTCGTCACTACCAAAAATCTATAGTATATCTATCGTATGGTTACAGTTATTTGATAGCATTTGAATTTTAATAAGGTTTCTACAAATCAAACTCATCTGAAATTTGGACCGTGTGTACATCCAAATTTCTGAAGTAAACGAAAACCTAAATTTTAATAGGAAAATTATAATTCATGGCAAAATAAGAACTATTAAAACATTATAAATACTTTATCTCATTATATAGAAGAAAGAAATTGAAAATTAGAAGGAAAGAACAAACTTAGTTGTGAATTATCAAATAATATTTAGTGAACATTTAAACAACTGTGAAGGGACCATTGTTGTACAAAATACTTAAATAAAAATGAAAATAAATTATTTTCATTTACATCATATTAAAATAATTTTGTTATTAATTTTCTTAACTAAAATATCATGGACCCCACATGCGATTAGCCAGTTGAAATGTTAATTGTCAGATGAATGGCACTAGTGAGACATTATTAAAGCACCCTCTTCACCTGAAAATCATCTAAGCTTACATATTTTTAATCCTTATAAGGGAAAAACCCAATTGGGCATAGAGTTGAACCATATAACAGACTTAGTTGCAAAACATGCATGCATTGCATACATTTGAGCAAAATATAGAGAAAATGTTCGATGCTACCACTCAACTTTCCTACAACTTACTTGCACCTCCGGAACTATTGTTGCCTAACTATGAGAAATCCAACGGTTGTGTTGTGCTGCCCAACAATGGGAAATCCAAGTGCTAGCAATGTAAGGTATATATTGTAGTATACAATGAGACCACTTTCTTTTTGTACAAGGCGGTCAGAATTAATCTTGACCATTGGATGTGAAATTGGATGGCCGGATTTATTCCATTGACCAAGCTTAAAGTTAAAAAAAAAATAAAAAATTGTCATAGTTTGTGACACACCTAAGCTATCAAATTTCACATCTAATGGTCATAAGTAATTGTGACCTCTTTGTACCAATGGTAAATGGTCTCATTGTATGCAATCCCTAAAAACAATGGCTCCATATTTATCAGAGATCATCTAATTTTTAGATGATAAGATCTAAGTACTAGAAAGCTCAAAATTTATTTTAATTCTCAAGTAGTTCCTAAAATTTTAGATTGAAAAAAATCCTCGCAAGTAGGTTTCAGACGGAAGGAGTAGAAGTAAACTATGCATCCGAGATAGCATAGTTTATATATTTTTATATTTAACAATATAATTTTTATATATATAAATAAGGTATAACCCTTGATAGAGCAGAGTGGTAGACCGAGATTCATATAGCCTGACCTCAAATAGTTAGAAAAAAAAAGCTACCATCACTTCAATGTATGAAAAACAAAGCTTAAAACATGTACATACCTAGGCAACAATAGCAATATCAAGACAGGCGAATTTGAAAAAGAGCTCTAGCTTAATTGGCTAGCGTTTGATGATTTGCATTGCTATATCCGACGCGTAATTCCTACTAAGGTAGGGGCCCTCTCCCGACTGACTCACCCCAAAAAAAAGACATTGTAGGTTATATTCCCACCATTAACACCAACCCACAAATAAAAGCTAACTCATAAAAGTAGGGCTTCTCTTCTCTACTGAATTATCAGAAAATAAATAAATAAAAGAAAAAAAAAGAAAGAAGACAAAATTATTCCGGTGAGCTAGCCTGTTTTACCAAAACGCGTCATTAAAAGGGACTCACTCCTTATTTCTTACCCGATATCAATACACAAATAAGTGTCAAAGTCTTTGTTACGTCAATGACGGACCAAGAGCTCTGCAACTCCTTCCATCCACAAAAAATTGAGTGAGAGAGAGAGAGAGAGGACCGATTAAAAACAGCAAACAAATTGATACAGAGATT